CTGTCAGATCTTGTTACCAAAAGGCCGAAATGGATGTGTATGTTAATTGTTTTGTGCGCGTTCATTGTCTGTAGGGTCAGTCTTAGTCGTTTTTTGTTTGTTTTGACATTTAGTTCATAGGAACTTGGAGGAAGACGTCTTTTTCCAATTAATCTTCCTATTTTTTAAGCAAGAGGGCGGTGACAGATATTTCCGGATCTCCCACATACATCGCTAGAGTTCAAAAAATTTAAATAAAACTCACGTACGTATTTGCAATATAAAGAGGCTGAAGTCCAAGCAGCTAAACTAAAGAAAGAGAAAGACATTGTCAGTCATCCTTATCAAAAGAAAACACAACATTTTCACTTATTTAAAAGAGATAGCTGTGGAACTACAGAAGGGAAATCGTAATTAAAAGAAAAGAATACTTGAGCTAAAAGCAATAGCCAAACTGTAAAGAGAAAAAGCTTGCTCTATAGCTGTCATTCAGAAAGATTGATTAGCTCAAATAAGTACTCTTAGCTTAGCTGCAGTTATGCACTTTTTGATAGAGAACAGGTTAGGAAGGGTTTCCAAAGCTACAATGTATTTTTAGCCATCTGCACTGCGCATCCAACAAAAAAATAAAAAAACGAAAAATTATTTATGTTAAAAAATGCCTCGGAAAGATGGACATGTGGAACTGCCCTCGGCGACCTAGAGAAATTGACCCAGAACTATCTGTCATTCCCTTCTTTCTTATCTCATTTACAAATGCTGAGTTCAATGTATTTGTGAATTTTTCTACTCGAACGTTTTTCCCCAAATTGTAATGAAAGAAATAAAACGAAATTTTCTACTAAATCTCGTACAGAAAATAAAATGGTCTACTTAAGGTGTCCCGGCTCGTAATTCTCCATGAAGAAGCTGAGGATGGAAATGCTATGCCGGATCTTACCCGGCCGGTTAGTCTCGTGTCACGAGCCGTCGACAATCTTATAAAGGTAATGATCCGCGAAATAGTGCTATCTTATTAGTACTCTAGTTATATGGTAGTTTGTAGAGTAAATACGTTTTTCATATGCGATAAACTTTTGCAAAGTCGCCATAAAAAGTGAGAGCATCTAATCTTGGCTAGATATTGTGCGGTTTTATAACTCTACATTTGTTTACTCAAGTGTCCAATATCAATATTTGGTTTAGTCAGTCGTAAATTTGCGATCTTTGCCCATTTCGTATGTCGCATTGTTGCGAACACTTTCTTTTGTTGTTTGGACAAGCGCGCTCTAAATTGCCAATTACTCCGCCCACGCTATCACAGACTACCTCATGGACAGCTGTGATTTTATATCGCCGCACTAAAATAAGATTACGCAAATGTTTTTCTTCACTCAGCCATTATCTGGAATGAAATGGGCATAGTAGCAGTTGGTTCTGTTCCAGATGTTATGTGATTTATTTGAGATTCTCAGCCCTGTACGTAGTGAAAAATTGAAAATTTCAAGTCAAGGTCTTTCAAATGGGCTCTAGAAATCAGTTAAGTCATTTATCATTGATACACACCTGCT